ACACAACCTCACACACACACACACACACACACTCTCTCTCACACGCACACACACTCTCTCTCACATGCACACACGCGCACACACTCATCACACGCACACACACACACACACACACACTTGAACAAATGGATTCTGTGAATGATTCAGTAACTCTAGTACAGACGGTCATTTGTCGCTCCCTACTGGTCTAATGATGCTAAATCCCCAGCACTGACGCATAGACTCACCGTGAAACAGTCCTTATAGATCAGCACTTCTGTAATGCTGCGCGAACAATCAAACGAGGACCAGAACTCATTGTGTGATATAAACCCGAAGCGTCAGTGCCAGTCAGAGTTTTCATTAGGGTTGGAGCTAAACAGCCGTGTGTGTGTGTGTGAGAGTGTGTGTGTGCTGTAGTGTGAGAGTGTGTGTGTGCTGTAGTGTGAGTGTGTGTGTGTGTGCTGTAGTGTGAGTGTGTGTGTGTGTGTGCCGTGATATGACTGATGACGGTGGTGTTTGATGTGTGCAGCTCTACAGAGATGGAGAATGAGGTGGCGTGTCTGGACGTGTGTGTGTGTGTGTGTGCAGCTCTACAGAGATGGAGCATGAGGTGGCGTGTCTGGACATCACTCCTCTGGGTGAGAGCGCGGGAGAATCCAGCATCTGTGCTGTGGGACTCTGGACCGACATCTCAGCTCGCCTGCTGAAGTTACCCTGCTTCAGCCCGCTGCACAAAGAAATGCTGGGCGGAGGTGAGACACACACACACACACACACACACACACAGACGCTCGTGTTCAAGACACTAGACACACTCACACACAAATCATGACGTGTGAACACATTCTCCAGAGACCGAAGCTTGAAGAACACGCTTTCACTTTCCTTTGCACTTTATTTCTATTTATTCATTTTTGCAGAAGAAGCTTTTATAAAGCACTTTTCCCAAACTCAAGCTAAAGTCTTTGAGACATTACACAGAAAAACTCTGTGTGATAATGGTAATGTGTGGCGTCATGTTCCTGCATTCTGAAACAGCTGCATGGAGGCCGTATTCAGGTCTGGAGCTGATCCTCTTTCAGCGTGTGTCTCTGTGCTCAAAGACATCTGTCTAGGTCACGTTCATACAGACAGAGAAATCAAGACAAACCGAGTTATCGTGAGCTGGCTAGTGTTCACTCACTGAAAACACTGAAATGATCAAATCAGGTGTTTAATAAAACATCAGGATGTATATCTGAAGGTTGAGAAATGCACACTTTATATCCTGCGGTCCCAGTGAGGCGGATCAGAGCAGTGCTTATTCCTGTACATTTACTCTCCACAGCCTTTGAGATACATTTTATAAAGATAAAAGAGCACTTATTTAGATTGTGCTTTTATTAATAATTGAATTAACTGTCACTTTTCATTGAAAGATATTTCTCTATGCTGTCTGAGATTAATGAATGGAAGTGTCTGGAGAAGCCTGAGCGTCACATGTTCATGAAATGTGCAGTATAAATGTATTTCTGCTGTGCTCAAGAGTTAATGCTGGATAGAGTTAAGTGATAAAGTAGGTCTTAAAATGTGCATAATATAAACATATATGAATAATGTTGGTACTCCGTTTCCTATATCAGATTATAAATTCACAGCGTGTTGTTTGGGTGTTGATAGCAACATTTGATGAATGAATCTGAAGAGCTTCTGAAGCATGAATGTGTTTGCTGAGCTGAAGAACATGTCATTTCCTGTCACATGTCTCTCACTGACCGCTGATCGTGTGTGCTGTAGAGATCATCCCTCGCTCCATCCTCATGACCACGTTTGAGGGCAGTCATTACCTGCTGTGTGCGCTGGGAGACGGGGCGCTTTTCTATTTCGGACTGGACATTCAGACAGGTGAAAGCAACACACATACACGCACACACACACACACACACACAAACTCACTCACTCACTCTCACACTCACTCACTCACTCACACACACACTCACTCACTCACACACACACACTCACTCTCACAC